AGGCACTGAATTTTCTCCTAAATGTGGGTGATAGAGGCTACTGGCAACACTACCAGAATTTGGAGCTTAGAGCATCTTTCCAGGCACACTGGGTCGGTTGCTGAGCTTTGTTCAATGCCTATATGTAGCTCATCAATATATTGCACTGTAATTATCTAAAATACAAGTTCCCATTCCCCTCAACAACCAAAGACTATGTATGATGGATGGAGCTGGGGGGGGACACAGTGTGATGTGGCAGAAGCTGAAGCCTTTGCAAGGACCTTTGCACAGCTAAAACTTCATAGGAAAAGCAGCAACATCTTCAAGGAACAATACAGATCTGGGAGTTAAGGAAGTGTGTGTTCTGACCACTGATTTGGTCGTGACTTGGGCTTGAGAAGCCACATTTGTCTGACACAGGAGATCAAGTCTTATCCCTTCCCACAGGACATTGGGAGCATCTCTGTAATGCTTACCCTGCCACGCTAGCTGTGTGCTCTAATTTATACCAGGTATGGCTGGACCTGAACACAAGTGAAATCTCTGGGAAGTTCAGATGCTTAGCACCTGAAAATCTTACTTTGTTGTACAGAGCTAGAGCTAGAGTTCAGTATTCATGTGGCAAAACAGATCTGTCCTGCAGTTACTAAGATTTTAAGAGAGGCCAAAACAGCAACCTTTGCTTTTCTCCTTAAATATTCTTTGTATTCCAATGCAATCTACAAAATCTCATACAAAAGCCACAAATATGTGTGTGCTTATTCTTAGCTGACAATTTTTGCCAAAGATGAGTAAGACTCACTTATTGCCCATTGAGTATTCTATTGTGGCAACAGCTTATTCATTTATTAAAGGAATTATATATTTAAACTGATGAAAACAGAACCTTGGCAGCTAAGACTATAATACATTCTACTCATAGTAAATCTCTCTGGCATGTGTGGGCAGAAGCTTGTTCAGGGCATCTTCCCAAACATTGTCAGGTCAGAACAGGGACATTCAGCTCTGTGAAAGACTGAAATCTGTACAACACCTCACTGGCCAGTTTTGTCATTGCTCTGTTTTACCCATCAGTGGTGAGGCAGTGTGACAGCTTGGGGTGTCATTGCAGCCTTGTGGCATGGCCCCACAAACCTGCTGGGTTTTTGGCACAAACCTGATGGCACAGATGTGCAGCAAATGGCAGCTGGGAGCCAAGCCCAGGGGCATCCAGTGCAGGCATTCTGAGACTGGATTGCAGGCTAGCAGACTTCACTTCCTTCCCTCGTGGCAGTACTTTTGAGTGGTACAGTCTTGCTAGTTGAATTTTATTAAGCAACTTATGTTTTTTACATCCATTCTCATTTCATAATTGTACTTCTACATGTACCTCTGACCGGGAGCAAGAATTTTATGTAGACAAAAACTCTCCCCACTCTTTCTCTTATGAGTGCTCTAAATAGTGCACATGATTATTTTAAAAATATCTGTGTAAGAAACTGTGAAAGTGAATCACAAAGAGGAGAGTGTAAAAGATATTTAAGTTGCAAATCAGTAGAAAGTCTTTGTGGAACATTTAATGTGCACTTGCTCTTAGTTAATCCAGTTTGTTTCCTCCTGTAATTGTCCTGATTTATTTGCACATAACCTCCTTTTCTAGTGATATTTCATGATCCAAACCCTTGAAAAGTTGGGGTCACCATCAAGAGCCCTTGCTCTGGATAGGTTACAAATGCATAGCCTATTGCAAAGAATTTTCCTCCAATGCAGCATTCCTACATTTTATTGATTCGTGTGACGAATAGAAACTTTAAACAGAATGTCAATTTTCTTGCAGTGCAATTTAACAGCTTGATGCACTACCATCTGTTTAAGGGAAAATAAGAATCAAGCTGATGTTAGGGTTTAATGCCATAATAATTCTTTAAATTGATGGCAGATTCATCCTTTGAGCAGATTGATCTCTTTTGGAGATGCTGTATAACAGCAAGAATTACTTGGTCTCTTAAGCAGGAAAGACAGGAAATTTAGTACATGAGAAGAAAGGAAGCCAGAGAGAGGGTGCTTAACCACATAGTCAGCAGAAGAGTCAAGGGGAAATTCAGCACATTGGCTTTCCTGCTGAAGGCAATATAGCAAGCAAGGACAGTTCTGGTGGACTGTGAAACCAAATTGCCAGGAGCTGTTACAATTGTACAACAGCTGCTGTTCAGCAAGATGATGCTGCCTTCCTCATTCTCCTTATGCTTTTCACTAAGTCTCTTTGCATGTTTTCTGGGATAGGGAGCCTTCTGTGGCAAGTCACCTTTACATTTTGCTTGTGTAGTATCCAGCATCATGTTCATAATGCTTTTACAAATGATAAATTGAATAATGACAATACTATTTGCTTTTATTTTCTCACTGCTATTCATTTTGCTTGCTGATCTCTTGCAAAGAAATCTTTCTGGCTCACAATTCAACAAAGAACATAGTCCAGCAGTTAGGCTCAGTGCTAAATCACCTCTGCATATCCTCGTTGTCCTTCAGTATTAGAAGTGCTAAGAAGCAATTCAGGGTAGCTAAGAAAGTTTCTTCCCAAAGCATCATTTATTTGCAGTGATTCTCCAGATGCTTCTTCAAGAAAGTTAAATAGATGGAGGACAGCTAAAATATTTCCCCTTTCTCTAAATTTATTTTCCTGTTGTTTTTCCTTCATGGTTTGGTTAGAAATCAGCATATGGCAATGGGTGCTCCATGTATTACAGCATGTTAAAAGGTGCAAAGGAAAATAAAAGTTAACCAGGATATTGTTAATACGATGCTCCACCTGGACATCACAACAGTTAAATTCTGAAAATTACTGATGTTATCCTTCTATCGTTTGCTGTCATCAAGGACCAGCCAAGCCAGTTTATACTTAATTAACATTAATAGATATTTATTTCGTATTCCTTTCATGAAAAATTATTAGCATATAATGGGAGTTCTTTCTCCTTCCTTAAATGAAAAATTACATGAAAAAACTTTCAATTGTTCTAGTCTGAAGTCATCCAGAAATAAAAGCATCACAGAGAAAGAGAATTCATAAATTTAGGAAATAGTAGAAAAGAGAAACATACCTTGCAGTACTAAAGAACTTCAGTAGAACTTTTCCTCTGAGTGTAGGTGCTAAAATAATGTGCTATGTTGAAATCAGCTCAACTGCCTGAATGCAATCTGCTAATAAGAGCAGACTTCCCCATGCTCTTGGTTGAAATAACAGGTAAGAAGTTTGCAATTACTTTATTAACCATTAGGGGAAAATCTAACTAATAAATGTTATTAAAATCTCAGAAATTGTTCTTTAAAAGCCAACAGGTCAGTAGAAATCTGAAGGTGGAAGTGCTGATGCTCTAAGAGATGCTTGGGACTTGACTTTAGTTAATGGATGGTTACAGGGATGAACTAGTCTGGGTCTTGAAAGCTGATGATCTCCTGACTGCTCTGAGAATGTGAAACTTTTAATCATGTAAGAAGCAGCAAAGGAAATAGACCCACAACCTTGGCTTGAGGAAGGATGATAATGGCTTATTCAGGGATCTGTTTGGCAGGATCTCACAGGAGGCTGCCCTGGGAAGCAAAGGGACCCAGGAATGCTAGCTGACCTTCACTGACATCCCCATCAAAGAACAAGAAAAGTCCATTCTGACATGTGTGTAGTCAGGCAAGAGGGGCAGGCAGCCAGCATGCAGGAACAGGCTGCCCTGCTGGAGTTCAGAGAGTAGGCAAGCACAGAGATGCTGGAGAGTACTTGCACCATGGAGCAAAACAGAGACATTACTCTACATTGACTAAAACATGGAAGCATTTACTAAAGCCAAAGCTCAGCAAGAGTTAAGCTCATGCGGGACTCAGAGGTGCTCCTGGAAGTACACAGGCAGAAAGAAAAATGAGATCCTGCTCCTTAGGGGCCAGGTGACTTAGTGACACAGGACATGGAAAAAGCTGAGGTACTTTACGTCCTTTTATGCCTTTTTTTTTTTTAATGTATGAGCTCTAGCCTCAGACACTGAAGCACTAAGGAGAAAGACAGAATGGGGAGCACTTCAGTTATTTGGACACAACTAAATCCACAGAGCCAAGCAGGGTGTTTCCCAGAATGTGGGAGAAGGGGGTGGTGGGAACCTTTAAGGTCAACAAAGACAAACTGTCCTGCATCTGGGGCCAAATTACCTTATGCCAAGAGCCCAGTGGTCAAAAAGCAGCTTTGCAGGAAAGTACTCAGAGGTGCCAGAGGAGAAGCAGCAGAACATAAGCCAGCCATGGGCTCACACAGCAGGGAATGCCAATGGCATCGTGGGCTGTAGTAGATAAGAGTGTGCTCAGCAGGTTGATGGAAGGGATTGTTCCCCTTTATTTGGCATGTGTGACACTGCAGCTGGGAGTGAGACAGCATCTGGAGCATTATGTTCAGTTTTGGGCTCCCCAGTGCAAGAAAGATACCGACAAACTGTAGCAAGTCCAGGTTTTGATGTGCAGCCCAGAAAAGTTTATCCCTTTTAGTTTGAGTCAAGTAACTCAGTTAAACACATAATTAACCAAGTGAAACACAGCAGTCCATGATATACAGACCAGGTAAGATGATCTCATATTTTGTGAATATAAAAGAAAAAAAAAGATAAAACTGAAAACAGCATACAATTTTTCTTATCCAGAATGAGACTTGAAACAGAAAACCATTTATCATCAGCCTGTGCCTTTAGTGCACCAATAGAGCAACTTAATGCCTAAATCAAATACTTTGGAAAAAGTTAAGAGATACTAACCATCTTCTAAGTTACTGTTTAGAAACTATATTCCTTAAATGAATGTTTGCATTGCTGTGTCAGCAAGCGTCAGGGAGCTGGAGGAGACAACTGGAATGCTGTAGAAGCTTGCCTTCTGTGGGATACAGTTCCCTATCTACTTGCCATGTTAACAATGATACCTTGTGCTTAGAGACACTACCTAGTTAATTTCCATATATTAAAGCTTTATTTAAAGATTTGTATTCTAAAATACAATGAAAACATTGAGACTATTGTACTAAAATATATTTTATTAACACAAAATATTTTCTGTCATCAATAAACATATAGATAGGATCTATACAGATATATGTATATTCTTATACATTAATGTACATACATATTTTTATATTTATCCACTCTAATTCTTCTATTAAATTCCTGTTATGCTGTAACATGTGCAATTTTTTACAATGTAACATTAAATGAAGTCCCCCAAATTTTATTATAAAAGTCAAACATATCAACTGGTTTCCCTTGTCTACAGACTTCAGCATCTTTTCCTAATTGAGAAGTTGTGAATTTGTGAGCTTCTCCTCATTCCTCTGAAAAATGTCACCCACATCTTCTCACTTCTGTCTTCTGTCAAAACTTTCTATCCAGTTATAGAAAGGCTTAAAGTCAGTGAGGATGCAGCGTTCAGTTCAGGAACAGCCACATGACAAATTCTTTGATCTCTGCCACTAATTCTACCACACTTTTCATTTCCATCTCTCAAGTCAGCATAGGGACCTTCCTTGCTTCCTCTAGCTGGACACTGCAAAAGTAAAGATCCAGACGATCCCTTTCTCACAGGTTTCCTTGTCTCATTCTCTTCAGGTCTGTTGTACAATAAACTCTGGTGCCTGCTACAAATGTCATCCTCCCATGATACTGTAGTTGGAGTTTCTTAACAGACTAAACTCAAATTCAAGGCTCCAAGTGCTAAAATAGCCCAGAGCACTAATGATACACACCACCACCCCAATCTGAAGGCCTGAAGTAATTTAGTGTTCTCTCATAAAATCCAGGACTGCCACTTTTGAATTGGCAATTCTTTTGCATTCTGCTAGGGCTGCAGTTCCTCATCTCTCCTGCTGCTGTCTGTAATTTTACTCTCTTACGTGAGCCACTGAAGCTATCACCTATCTGCAATAGGTATTTTCTCTGTGTCTTGTATATTAATGTATGAAAAAAACATTCTGCCTCCATACTAATAGTGTTTTGTCACCTACCACCACAAGAGAGCAAACATCTCCTTACTATTACCCTTACCCAAAGCCTCCCCATATAATTTCTTCAAGCATTAACTCCTTAAGAGTGTGGTCTAAAATAACCATTAAAATTAAAAATAAATTAAATATTTAATTTAAAAAAATTAAAATTAAAAATAACCATTCTGCTACTTATTGGGTAAAAAAATGCCAGAGTCCAGCTTTATGTATCCTGGATATAAATTTTCACCAAAAATGTATGACATAACAGGGAATTTAGCAAAAGTAATTTAAATGAGGAATTAGAAAAATTATTACATTTTCTAAAGCAATGCAAATGTGTGACAGTTTTATTTAAACTGCAGATATCAAATAAACTAAAAAGAAATAATTTAACACCTATAATGGATTCAGTGAATATCATCTGATAACACAAGAGCTCCTGGCTATTGACAGAACTTTGTAAACTATCTGTTCTTTGGGAAAGCAATAAATTGCTTAGAAATTACAAAAATATGTGACTTTGCCAGGTGGTCTCCAGGGAGGACTCATCTCATTCCCATGGACAGCCTGCAACTTCTTTTGGCTCTTCTCAAGCTGTTCTCTCCTCATTTTATTTTCCTGAGAATAAAAAGATATGTGAAAAAAAGCCCTAACCAAAACAATTCCCTCCCCTCCCCCCACAACAACAATTCTACTAACAGAAAAGTTACATTATTGTTATGCCTTTCTTGTGTAAAATTAAAAGAAAATGTGCAATGGAAATTTGCCTTTTGGAGCTCAGCACATCCTTTTTAGAGGCTCAGCCACAGACATTGCACAATGCAACACAAGAGGCTGCACATTGGGTGTCACTTACAATTAGGGTGACTGTCTCAAGGATGGGCTGGGTTTGTGCACTGGCTAAACAAAAGCACAACAGAAGGCCTACTGGATTAGGTATTGGTTTTGTAGGTAATTGGTCTCATATTAATCACTTCTTGTCTTTAAGAGGATACCTAAATCCCAATGCAAAATATATTGTTCTCATATAATGATGCATAATTGTAATACATGTCCAAAAACTGTAGAAAGCAAAGCAACACACTGAAATATCAACCCTATCAATATGATTTGAAATTGTGCCATTCAGCTCTTTGTCAACATAAACCTGAAGATCCAATTCATTTAGGAACATCTGGTCTGGCTAAACAAACACACAATAATTTCATGTCATTACTAATAAGGCTGATTAAAAGCAAGGCAAGATTTGCATGGAAAAGGAATGCCCTTTCCTAAAATAAGCAATACAAAACTTCATCACAGTCTAATAAAAAATATTATCTCTGTAAACATTGTTTCTTTCTGATCACATGGAGTAATTGAGATAAACTAGGCATGCAGCACTGTGACATTCTGACTCTTCTCATCCTTCACTTTTGCCTTCTTTCTCCTTCCATAGAGATTTTGTCAGATGAACATAACTACTGGCTTCAGGTCTTTAGAATAAATTCAAGATATTCTAAAATTCTTCAAGGGAACTGTTTAGTACCCTAAGAGAAAAGTAGTCTGCATTATCAGTAATATTTTTCAAAAAAGACATCAGGATATGTGAAGCAGTACACATGAGCTTGGGAAAAATATGCTCTAATGGAATACATATATGATACATGCTCCTGTATCTATAATCATAGAATTATATTGTACAAAGATATGTATACCATCAGGACAGGTAAGTGAAAACTCATTAAAAGACTCTTTGCAGCAGTATTGCAAGCATTAGTGAAATTGCATGCTACAAAGAAATGTGCATATTTTATGTTTATGAAGCACTCTCTACTGAATACATGTTACACAACAGGCTCAAGTATGAAAAACCACAACTTAAAATAAAGCATATACCCACCCAGGAAAGGAACAAAAGTTGCTCTGGATTTTTTAACTGTGCTTCACTTTTGAATGTTTGGGTTTGAAGATCCAATTTGAATTAATAAATCCCAGTGACAAGGAAAGAGTCTTAAGTTCCTTTAACTGTTTTCTAAAAGATTAAATTCAAAGTGAAGATCTACTGGCCTCCTCCCTGTCTTCAACACACACAAAGTTTTTATCTTCTTGTCATAACCATAGTGCAAATTCTCACAAGACAAAACTGATAAAAATATTCCACAGAATAATAAACAAGATGTTACTTGCACTAATTGAAGAAGTAACAGAAACAGTGAAAGGTTAAATCAATAACTGTAGCTTGTCTTACACTAGATCAACTCAACTGTATGGCTTGATTTCTGTGGTAGTTTCCTACTCAACAGCCTAGTAAGATGAATATATTTTTCACTTATCAAATTCTGGGAAGAGTACATTCTTTAGCAGTATGACTGCCACATAGAAATTGAATTTTAGATATTACAGAAGACTGACAACATTTAAGAAGAATAACAATAGCAGCCTCATTTCTAACCTATTGCAATGACAGGCCATGAAAATTTCAATTTAGAAAGTATTTTCAGAGAGATCTTATGAAATTGATGACTACATGAAATTAATAACCCACTTCAGCTGTTTCTAACCCAGAAAAGCAACAAATCTATGGGACTTTTCCAGTACATCCTTTCTTGATGTTTTTAAATAGCCTAAAATAGATATTGCACATACTCAAATTCAAGATAAAATGTCAAACTAATTCTAAGGCTTTCAACATTACTATGCTGGACTTCAAAAACTATTTGAGAGCAGCCTTACTTTTCAGAAGCTCACAGTAGATTAATTCTGATCACAGAAAATGGACAACATCAAATTATCTAGAGATGATACTCACTTCTATCCACAGTAAACAGGTATCAAGATTAGTATCTCAGAAATAACGGAAACTAAACTGATATGTCATTATAAACTTTCCACGTGATTCTTGTCTACATTCCACTCCTCAGAACAGGTGCATGTCAGTGACAAGTGTCAGACACTGGTATTATGCAGTAAGTAAAAAATCATCATTTATCAAGATAGATTGGCTTGAAGAGTTCTTGGCGAGTAGCAAGAAGCAAATTATATAAAAGAAACAAAATAATCAGAAGCTTGAATTTCCAGGCAATATTAAAGCATCTCACCTCAAGATTATCCTTTTTATGTCAGTATTTTACAAGTGTTAATAGTCTTTTCCAGGGCATTTATTTCCAGGCTTAAAAAGTAATCTTCTCTATCCACTTATGCTATCAAACATTCACACAATGACCTCTAAAAGCAGAAGTAACATAACTTCCATTAACATAAAAGCAGAATGTTTCTTCTATTTTAGAAGAACTACAATGAGATTTTTATGTCTGTTTTACTTATGCATTATGGTCAACACCTGCTTCAGGAAACCTGAGGATGAATGTGCACATTTCTTTCTGCTGAATGTTAATGAAAGCATATTAGAATACTTCCCACTATATCCCTCCTATTTTATTTCCCTTAAGAAAATTCCTTTTAGTTGAAAGAATACTTTTAAAAGACTTCCAAATTCTGCCCTCAGATCTGATGCCTATCTACCTGCAGACAGATGCCACCTGAGTTCTCTTGGTAATGCAATGATGACTTTACAGTGTTTCTCTCCTGCAGCTACCAATGGTCTGTATTTTTTCTGTAACTCTACAAAGTGAGGCAATATTCTGGCCTAAAATTATGATAAAGCCATTTCCCAATATGTTTTCTAAAATAAATGTGTGTAAGTTGCAAAAAGCACAAATTCTGAAAGTAAAAAATTTAAAGACTAGGCACGAGACACAGCAGTCAACACTTGCACAGACACTGAAAATGGGATCATTTTAGAGGTACCTCTGCCAAGCAGGTCAGTACTTATCCCACCCTACACTTGCTTATTTCTCATATAGGCACATGTATATCTAGTTAGATATGGTCTTTCCTCCCACTACTAAAATTTTCATTAATAATCCCACGTAGGTGATCACCTCAGGAATTCACACACAATTTGAATGGGAGAGCCTGTGCTAGGCAGCATCTTTCGCTTCCAAATAAAGGGATATTTTTTTTTACCTTCATACAGAGTCCAGGACAGCAAGGAAACCAAATGTACAATGAGAAGTAACATTTTTGCTTTGGTACAACTAAGCTGATTAGGACAGTCTCAGTGAACAGAGCATACCAGGGCAGTGCATTAGTTATCGCTCAAATCATAGTACTCCCTGCCTTGGCAATCAGGAATACTGACCAAGCAAGAAATAACCTAAAATCAGACAGTAATAATTTGCTAAACTGAGCTGAAAATCTCTTGACAATGGTGACCAGAAAAAAACCTTCTTATCAGTGATTACAGAAATGAGAGGTATTTCAACAGGAGACCAGGTCAAGCATCTATAAACCTAAGATTAAAAAAAGTTTGGAAACAAAGAGAAGGGAAAACATGCAGGCTCTTGCTGTTTTGTGCAACTATGTATTTCTGAGTTAGCCAAGTAAAGGATGATTGTCCTCTCTAAATCCTCTCTAAACCTGTCCCACACTTGAACAGCTGCCTGACTCAGCTCTCAGCTATCTGCCACCTCCTAAAAAAAAAAAATAAGCTATTGACACTAAAGAAGAATTCCTCTAAGGACCATAATCCAGCTGGGTTGCAAGATCCCGATCTTAAAAATGGCAGCAGAGACCATATGTACAAGGCATGCCAGAAATCACATGGAAGAGAGACAACAGAAGAAACACTTTCTAATTAAAAACCCTTAACAGTCATCATGAAGGAAGACTATGTCACAGGATTAAAACAGGTTCTTCTTTAACTGTCAAGTCACATACCTTTAAGAAAACAACATGCTAAGAATATTAGAGATCTCTCTTCCAGTCTGTCTTTCTGCAGCAAGGAAAAATAACCTGACTTATTTTTGGGACTAGAGCACTGGATTAATTTACTGCTTTACAACAGGGACACTGCTGTGAGAAAAATATAATTGGGAGCATCAGAGTTCCACCCTTTCTTGCAAATGAAAATCATCTTGAACCTCATTACAAGTGCTTTTATCAATTGTGAGGTCTCCCAGTCTCCATTTTCAACACTTCCTTGAATGTACACGCATTGATTGTTTCAGCTGGCAATGCTGTTTGACTTTGCAGGTTTTGTGCTCTGGCTAATTGGCCCTTCAGAGATGGTTACTCCTGATACGGAATGGCAAAAAAAATGAAGCCTAATGGAAATTGAAAATTCTATGTAGGTAGAGTGAATATATTTTCTGTGTATGCCAGATATCAAGTGCTTAAGTGTACTTAAGCAACATTTTGCTCGCAAATTCAAGGGGACAGGCGATGTTGCCACCATCTGGCCTCTCTCGTAACAGCACAACACCCCATGAGTATTACAATACTCAAGTGCTCACAGTACATCAAACATTTTGACTTTGACAAAAGATCAAAAAAAAAAAAAACAAAACAAACCCAACCAAACATACCAGCCATCTTTCATATTCCTCCATAGCCTTTACACTTTTTTCTTCCTTTTTTGCCTGTTGTATTTCTTGCTTTCTTTTCTCTTGGAATTTTTCTACTTTCTTCTTTTTTATATATTCTTCCTTCTTTTCATTCCTGAGTAGTGAGAGGGAAGAGCAAGAGGTCATCATGTACAAACTAAAAGCTGCATCTGGGACCAGTTAAGTAAATTGAATCAAAGTATGTATTTTACACTTTTAATAAAAGATTGAGAATATGTATTTAAAATATTCCATGTCCATTTTTATATGTCACCAAGGTATAAGTGAATCGACTACTCTATCTATTATGGAATTGCCCTTTCTCTACTTTGTTCTCCCTTATTTAGTATCATTAAAAAAAAAGCATTCCAAAATTCTTTTTTTTTTTTTAAAGCATTCTGAATTTCTATAGGTAACTGTAAGTTGTGCATTGCATGTGAAAACTCTTGGCTTGTAAAACAACTACAGAGTATCTCCAGCAGATACATCTCATTTCCTTCTTCCTACATCTGCATTCCTACATTGTATTCCATGAAACTTTAAAGATTTACCTTCCTTGCTATTGTTTAATAATGAAGCATGAAAATAACCATGTAAGACATAATACTACTAAATGAATTTTCTCATTTGCAGATCTCTGCCTGGGCTTAGTTAATATACTCTTGGGGAGGAAAGCAACTAAACTAATAAACGGAAGGGAGCTGCACAGCTGGTTTTCACTGCTAGACATTGTCTCCATTGGGAAGGAAGAGTCTGATCCCAAACATTCCATTGTCTTTCAATTACAAGCACATCAGGCATTCACGGAAGACCTACTACATTTATAAGCAAAGATTTTTGAAGCTATGAAATAGCAAACACAGTAGAGAAGTACCATTTTTCAACTGCTGATATACTGACTCTCCTCTTCTCTGCAACTAGGTCCTCTTCTATCTTCTTCTTCATTCTTTCAGACTGTTTTTCTTTCCTGCTTTGCTCTCTTAAATATTGCACTTTTCTTTCTTCCCATTTTTTGAATGCCTAAAGATAACCAGAGATCCATGAAAAAATCTTACCTCTCACCTTTCTGTCAATACTCCACTAGTCTAATCTGCATTATTATTTTTCATAATTACTACACATTCTAAATTTAGAATATTCACTTGTAGAATTGCTCAGAAGTGGGTATCACTATACCTAAAAGAATCTTATTTTTCCAGTAGGTAATAGTTAATTGCTAATGTATTTGTATGAAGCTTATTTTACACTCAGTTAATAGACTCCAAATACAGAAGCCTGTCAGGACGTGTAAACATTACATATTTCTTACACAACAAAACCTAATAAAAGTTTTCTTCAAAAACTAAGCATGTCTAGATTTAAGATTCTGGTCCATTTCCATCTCTTTCTGGATTAACCAAAATTATTTTTACCATCTCCTGAAGCACATTCAAATACACACTTAGGTACATATTTCACATCACCGCTTGTGCTGCTTCTGTTTTTTCCTTATTCTGTTCTGCTGGTTTCTTTTCCTCAAGTTCCTCACGCTTTTTTTTTTCTATTAACTTCTTTGCTTCTTTCTCTTTCTTTTTTTTCCAGGCTTCATAACATGCAATTGATTCTTCTCTTTTAAGTGCTTCTTTCTAGATTGGAAATAAAAGTCTACATTTAAATCAATTTCAGTATAAAATTCTAAGTGAAATAGTATGCTTTAAACTTATTGCTAAATGGAGAAATAAAGAAACAGCCATTCATTTGATGACAGTGTTGCAAGTATTACAATTAAATTTTAAGCATATATAGGATTATTTTCTATGCCCATTTTTAATATAATTGAATGAGATTAACTGCTCCTACAAAATATGTGTAGAAGGATATGAAATGCATGTTAAATGCTTAGAAATGAAACATATTAAGTACTTAAAAGATAAACCAAAGAATGTGCATGATACTATTCAAGACAGAGCCCTCTCTAGGTAGGCATCTCTTGAGACAGGGAGTGAATACCTCATGTTCTCATGCACAAAACAAAACTTGGCATCATAGGGCTGAGCATCCCAAGGTCTCTGTAAACTAACTTGAAAATTACTCTAAGAAGCAGATTTCTAACACACCTTATATAAATGTGTAGGGAAGCATTGGACAGACACTGCTTGCCACAACCCTAAGAAGTAGGACATGCCATTTGTTGTTTCACATCACCTCATACTATTTGGAGAAAAACAGATACCTTAAAACAGCAGAAGAACACTCCAAAGAGTCAACTTTGAGTTTGTCAATTTCTTTTTAAAAAACAATGTAAACAGACCTTTTCGGTATTGCTCCTTAGAATTTCAGCTTTTTCCTTTTCACTTCTCTTTAATTCCAGTAGAAGGAGCTTTTTCTTCTCCAACCAGTTCTGTAAGAATCATTAAAACATTTTTTAAGTCCTTTTAAGGTATTTGTTACTCTCAGTTCTTCCATATGCTAGTTGGAATGCTATGTGGAAAATTAAGATGTCACCACATGAACATTGCGATCAAAAAATTTAAGGTTCTAAAATCACAGCTACAAAATCTAAAAAAGCTTAAAGATCCTTTAAAAAAGCATCTTCCTAGAAACACCAACAAAAATGTAAGCATTAAGCAAAATTAAATAGAAGAATGGAATAAAGGTTCTTATCACTTGGTATATAGGAATATTATTTACATTTGTGTCTCTCTTGAAAATACCTATAATTAAAGAGAATAAAATCCTACTGGGAAAAGTGAGACTTCAGGCAGCCATAAAAGGTTATGAGCCATCTGCAGAATCAGGCTTAAATTTTCAAGAATTAGCTGTATATTTGATATGCAGCTCAAAGATAAAAGCATCCTAAATGAAGACTATTCTACCTTCAAAAACTGTGAAGACAATATAAATATGGATTTCAGGGTCTAAAATTAGGTTTAGGACCATAACAAGTATTAAAAATGCATACCAATATGAATGGCACCTGCTAATGGGAGTTGTTCTCAAACAGATTAACAAAAATTTGTTGAAACCCAGCTGTAAGTAGACACTTATGTTAAGAATTAAGAATGAAGTAGAAATAATGGCAAATATGTGCCTGAAAATAGTCTGAAACAATAAATTATGAGCCACATAAAAACATGATGTCCCTTTCACTGAGCTTGTTGTTCATAATATGAGGAAAAGGCAAAGCCAATGGAATAAAACGATTACTATACCTGTAAGCCAATTAAAAGAATATAGTAAAAAATACAGATTTCATATTTCAAAATATGAGTTCTTGACCCCTGTATCAGGACCCTTATATGCACAATTTTGTTTTTTGGCTTGTTCATTATTAAAACCTACCTGAAAAACAGCTGCCCTTAAATTATCTATTTTGTTGAATTCTGGACTTTTCTTCTGCATGCATTTATCATCCAACACCTTTAACGATCCCAGATACTGAGATGAAACGGGTGAAGTTGATGGAACAGCTTTCCCCTTTCTCTTTAAATGCACAAAAGTTGTAGACCTAGGAAAATACCAGGACACAAATACATTAATGAACTTTCCTTTTACTGTAGCTCATTCCAAGCAATGCTGCTCTTATTTCAGTGCATACCAAAAGTTACTTTGTTTTGTTTTTTTTTTTCTAGGCACTTGACTGGGGACTGGAGAGAAAAGGAGAAAGAACTTACCTCTCATAAGTTTACAAATTACTTACACATTCATCTAAAATCAGCTCAAAGCCTATAAAGACTCCAGTAACACACTCAGCACAGACACTGGCAAAAGATCCGTGAGTCTGATCTGACATAAAGCTGAGCAAGGGTCATAACAAGATGCCACATGCACTAAACTGTTTTCCACAGATGGTCAGAGGTTGTCAGCAGCAAAGATGACGCTGACAGAAAATGAGAGGGGAGCAGCATTGTTGGGGTGCTTACAGGCATCTTAAATGGCTCAGAACAGTGCTTGGCATTCTACTCTTACCCGTCAGATAAAGAAGCCTTTAGGTTTTGTGGAACTTTCTCCTTTGTTTCACTTAGTTTCTAAGAAACACAGAGGAAAAGTAAAGTTATAGAGTCTCTTAAGCAACAGATCAGGATGAAACAGGTTTTTACAAGATAACAAGGATACTGAGAATTGGACTCAGCCCTTATGAGTCCCTTCCAAGTCAAGATATTCCATGGTCTCATCATGTTATAAAACAGGCAAGAAAGACACCCTAATAAAGAGAGGGTATAGTACAGGGTAAGAAAGTAAGGAGAGAAAAAAAAACAAAAAACAAAACAAAGAAAGCCCCCAAACCAACCAACCAGCCAACCAAACTTTCAGAATGCCTGTATAATTTTGGAATGGCAACTAAAAATGTTCATTTGTATTATGTAAAAATACAGTCAATAATTTAGAAATAACAAAAAGCAAAAAGAACACAGATGGTTTTCTATAAACAGTATTTAAGTCTTTTGAATACTTAGCTTTAATAATTACATGTAGCTGCATTCTTTTTAGGATAAAGACTAGAGTGCTTTGCATCCTATCCATTATTCAGGTCACACATGGATTCCATCCTCTGCTAACACACACTGCTCACTGGTATTCAGCTATCCTCACAACAGACATTTGACATTTTCACTTTGAGAAGGGTACTTTCTTAAGGCTGGAAAACACATTTCAATACCTTTATCTGACTTAATTAATTTGTGGAAAAGGTATTCCTTATATCTCTCATAAAGCTTTAGAAACCAGACATAAATTGTCAGCTTTACACAGTGTTCTACACACTTAAGATACCAACAGTAACTTTACAAAACTCTCCACTGAGCGTTTTAGGACATTGTTCCAAACACTGGTAAACTGTGTATGAGCAATACCTTGACAGAGTTCTTGGATGTGTTTTTTGCCTCCCCATGCTCAGATTGATCATTCACTGACACCTCCTGCATTGTATCAATTGTTTGCTCTTCTGTTATTTTCATCATTCCATCTGAACTGTCAACACAAGGGGATTTCCTACCATTGTCCTCCAGCTTCAAGTCACTGGTGCTGACAGTCTTCTGATCTTGATCTAAAGGGAGAAAAAAGATTGAGAGGACACATTAACAAGAACTTCATTGGTTTTGGGTATTGTTTTTTCTGTACAAAATGTATTTCTAGAAAAGCCATCTATGACAGTTGTTAATTTTTTACTGAGTTTTATACAGTATAATGTATTTTCTGTATGCCTCCTTCTAAGAACTATATACAAATAAGAGCAGTATTCTCTTACATTGTCATGTAAGAATACAGTAGCAACTGAAGCTTCAACTAATGTTAGTGAATGTGAGAGCAAGACAAAGGCAAAATTTTCCAGCTGCCTTATCGGCTCTAGTGCAGAAACCAAAAGCAAGAGTCATTGCAGTCACAGCAAGAACTCTTCTGACATCTAGCAAATTTCTAGTGAAGTATGCCAGTTAACACTCTGGGTAACAAATACTGCTTTCATTGTGTACTGTTTTTCAGGGGTGTGGGACACATGAGAGAATAACTGAAAAATTCCACAGCGAGGATTTAAAGAAAACATCACCTCAATCTGAATGTTTGCCTAAGTGGTGAAATTGTTACTTATGAAACACATTATTAATAAGACTTAAAAAACATTTTCATCAGATTTTAACTGCCAGTGATGCAGAGATCTAAATTTGTAAAACAATTCACACAGAAGCCAAAAAATGCCTGAATAAAACCAAATTAGAAGTCTTCCCCAAATTTCTGATGGAATTCTTTAGAAAAATAAACTTTTGGATGACAAATAAACTCCAAATTACCTTAAAAAAGGAACATTAATGCCCATAATCAAAGAAATTTACCCAAAGTTTACCCTAAATTTACAGTGATGAAGGTAAGTTCAAGGTAACAAGAAGTCTTAATTTACTGAATTTTAACCAATAATGCAGTGTGTCACTGCACTACTTTGATTCACATAAAGAACAGGAGTAGTTCAACTTCTTTTCTGCTAGTCTAAAATGACACAGGCACACCAGCCAGGAAGGAGAGGTGTTTGCACATTCAAATACCTTTGATGGCACTTTGGTGCCATCATGTGGAAAGGAAAACAAAATCATGCTCTATCAATTTCAAAGTTGCAATCTTCCATCACAGGTAATAACCAGCCATAAACTTATCTCAACATCAAACAGCACAAATTCCTCTCATATTAAAAATTCCATAAAAAAAAGTAAGTCTTTTGACACATATAGTTTATTAGCAGAATTCCAAATTCTGCATTGCATATTAAAAATGTATTAGCTATTCTTATACTGAAGTTTGGGGGGGTTTATGTGTTTGACTATACATCCAAACTGTGTCAGTGGACACTATGTGACTACAGCTTTCTGTGCCATGCACACATTGAAGAGGCATTTTGGCAGCCCTCTCATGCATTCCATGCACATGCACTGATGGAGAGCTGGACTTCAGGGACCTAAACAGCTGTTTTTCATCTTCTGAAAGGAAAAGGCAAACAGGAACTTCCTGCTCTTGGCCCACACTGGTTCAGTTTACTACCTGAGCATACAGTGTTTGTGTATCTTTAGAAGCTTTGGCTGTGAGCCAAAGCAGATGATAGTTAACACAAAAAATAACCCAGATTGAAACACTTTAAAATAGTGTAACATGGCTAAGCAGCAACATTAAAATACTTTCTTTTCACCTGATGCTGAAGCATTTCCTTTTTTGTGCATCTGAGGCTTTGCTTTTGGTTGGTTTTCCTCTTGATTTCTTTTTTCATGTAGTTCGTTAATAGGCAAGTCATCACTTTCACTATTATCACACAGTACTTCTTCATTATTTTTTCTGTCATTATCCTCATTTTGACCTTCCAAACATCCTTCTTCGCCATCGTTTCTGTCATTCTGTATGCGCTCACCTTCTACACCCATTATTTGCTGAAGCTTCTTTTCATGAAAGGATAAATTCAAGTCATCAGCAGCTTCATTTTCCAAATCTACTGCTTTTTGTAAAGCATCATCATTCAAGAGAGGACTCCCAGCAACAGATCTCTCAGTGCTTGTAGAACCTGAATTACTTTCAGCGAGTTCTTTCCCAACATCTGCAAAAAGCATATTACCAACTTCTATTGGATATAAGTGGGGAAAAAAGCAACACAGAACCTGTATCTTGTATAACTTAACAGTATTTTTCATGTAGCACCCTTCTGATTTAAGTTTCTGAGCATTTCTTTTTCTGTGCCCCTGATCTCTGCAAAGCCACCAAACCTACAGCCTTATTCTACTTTCTTTCCTGTTATCTATTTTCCTGGACCCAATCCAAAGAAAAATATTCACTCATTAATTATTTTCTGCCATGCAATTTAAAGTCCTTCTGAAAAAAAAAGTCTCAATATGATAGAAAGTGCAAGCAAGTCATCACCAACAAAGCTGGGCACGTTTGGTATTAGAACCTATCCTCCCTTCCAGTCTCTTCACTTCTGCCCCATTTAAAGTCTACTAGAAGATACTCAAAGGAAGTATCTTCTACAATGCCAAGGTTCACATGTTTAACAAAAATATTTATCTTCCTCTAGCCTGTTATTGCTAATTGACCTAATTTTGGACCTCAAATGCTTGAACAAGGTGACAAAAGAATGTCATGATAGTAGAGTAATGCATTTACTGCTAGAGAGCTTTTTTCCTAAATCTTGTCAGCACAGGGAAACCAAAGCATCCCACAAACTATTAAAAGATGTTTCAGGTGAGAATGAAAAAGAGGTCACAGAGGAAGTCCTTTTAAAAATACATTATCATATTTAACATTCCTACTTTCCTTAACATTTAGTCCCATACCAGGAAGGAAGAAGAGTCATTTGGCCAATCTTGTCAAACTAAGCATAAACATTAGCAAACATCAAATGCATCCTACTCCAAGAAAAACAGCCATATCAAACTTATTTCTGGTTTACATATCTACCAGGGAAGTGTCCTGCAGCCTTTATTCACTGATTGTACAGACTGGGAAATCAATAAGAAAAAAACAATGCCTTTCTCTCTGCCCATGCCTACTTTAATTTACAGTACTGTAAATTACTGTGCACTACTGTCCGATCCAGGTGTCAAGTAAACAAGATGCCTAGGTAGGAGAACTGGGGACCATAATGGTAGGGACCAGTACAGACTGTGTGTGGTCTAGCAGGCTGGCACCTCTGCTGATTTCATTGGGAATTCTGCTGCTAACTTGGCAGAGGAGGACAGTTTTAGAAATTGTTAAAATATGAAATCTTGGAACACTAAATCATATTGACACATAAAGATTGTCTAGGATCTAGTAATGAGTTAAGAAAGGAAGAACACAAGGAAAAATATTTAATTTTGTTTTACCATTTAACATGCCATCTTCATCACTTTCAAAGTCGTCTGAATATTCATCCTTTTCCTTGCTTCTTACATAATCAGAAATTGCTTCCTGTAGCTCACCCTGAAATGGCTTCACAAATAACTTTTACAAAAAAGAGGATTCACTTGTTCAAGTTCAGCACTAATACTCCCTCCCACACATACATAAGTAAAACTGAGCAACAGAGATAAGCCCATTTAATTGACAATTATGCTGAAGCGTAGTGCATCCATTCTATCACCATTCCCCTAACATATCTGCATCCAAAAAAAAAGTCCCCAAATCTCCATGTATTTATTTCTATTTCTTCTTCATAAGAAATCTATCTTGCAAATCCCTTTCCCATTTTTGGGCGTGTATGATGTATAATCATGTGACACTTCTCCTCTTTTGTATGTTTTGATAGGCAAGAGCACAAGAGGAGGCTGTATGAGAGCAGGTGCTGTACGACAAGAGCCTGATGCAGGTGCCAGGTCCAAACCAATGGAAGAACTTCACATATTTTGGACTCTTTGCTGAAGGACATCACGGACACAGTACATTTACATGATTCTGAAGGGCACTGGCCTTAATTACAGATTGTAAACACATAAAGAAATGCACCAGCATCTCCAGACTGCGGACCCTGGCGCACAAACCACGAGGAGCAGCGGCTCATCCCGGGCCTTGCGCGCCTCCCGAGGCAGCGGCTGCCGGCCGGGCTGCTCCTTCATGCCGGCATCAGGGGCGGGCCAGGCGGGCCGTGGGGCAGCTCCCGGCGTCCTCACCGCGGGCAGCCTGCTTGTCCGCTTGCATAGCCAAAGCAACGCGGATTTTTGTGCGTGTGCCGCCTGTAGCAGCGAGTGACCGTACTCCCCATGGCACAAACCCGTCGGCAGGCCCCGTCCCCAGCGCCGCCTTTCCCCTGCCCTGCCCTGCCCCGGCCGCCGCCGCTCACCTGCAGCCCGCGGCCGCCCGCCATGGCGGACGGGTCTCGCTGCCGCCCAGCCCTCCGAGAGCGCTGGCAAACAGCCTCGGGGGAAAGCCCCGGCGGAGAGCCCCGGGGGAAAGCCCCGGCAGAGAGCCCCGGGAAGCAGCCCCGGGGGAAATTCCCGGCGGAGAGCCCCGGGAAGCAGCCCCGGGAAGAGCCGCGGGCCGGTCCCGCCCGGTCGCCCGGCAACGGCCGCGCCGGCGATCGCCTTCCGTAGTCGGGATCGCCGCACGCCGCCGCAGCGCCGCTCCCTCAGCCGGCCACGGCTGCGCTGCCGGGTGTGTTATCGATGTGTGTCGGTGCCCATTCTCTGCCGGGATTTATTACCGATGCCCCTATCTGCAGATAACCCCGTTCCCACAAGGAGCACGTCCATACATCCATGACACTCGTAGCAGGGCTGACACGTTTGTCAGACCCACTCTTGCAGTCAGGTAATTGTCCAAAACCTTCCTTCTTGGGATGAGCTTTACGAAAGAAACATACTCACTTTAATGCTTTCTAGAATACAAATCTGATAGCACCTGTGTGTTAGTTTAAATCAGATTTTAGGCATGGAGAAATTACAGTGGCATAGCCTCATCCTTACACCTTCTAATACTCCAATTTTTATATCCCCAAAGAGAGGTTGTATATCCACCTGGCGAGCTGCAGCCCCCCAGTGACCAGACACTTTGCCCAGCACACATCCCTGCAGAGCTGCTGTCCCAGAGGTCATCTGTCCCCTGTGTGGACCACGATGAAGGCACCCGAATCCCAGGGCTCTGGAAGCACCCATGTCGTGCATCAAAGGAAAGCTGTCCACTTCGGGACCCTTTACAGGTACAGACATTTCTATTCTTCCTCCAGTTTAATTGCTTCTGATCTCACCTTTCTAAAATAAGACTAGTGCTCCAGTTGTCTTAGTGATAACAAAGAACTTCTGACATGTTCTCTATACTGGTGTTATATTTATTTATATTAACGTTCCCCAAAATGCATTGCATTTTTGTAAGTTGTGCAGAAGAAAATCTCTCTGACAAGAAACAGGGAGAGAATATGTGGAGCACAGCCCAGAGCCTTAGGACTTGTTTTTCTCTTGTTTATTGATGTAGAGCAATATTTTAAAAGCAATGCAGTTATGCAAAGGGCACAATGCACTTGGGGAGAAAGAGGCCCTGAGTTCTAACAAGTAACCTTGGATTTTAACTAACAATTATTTGCCAGTGATTAATTGATATTTAGGTATCATCCGTTAGCAGCTCCTTTCTTTGTTTACTGCTGTTTATTTATGGCCAAATAATGCTTGATCTGCTGACTAATCATGCCATTTATTGAGAGTTATGCTTGATGCACAAATTTTTTTACTCTATTTTCTTCACATGTGAAAGCCTTAAATTTGAATATGTGCTATTCCATCTCTCTGTGAAAGTGAAGGGTGAAACTCAACATACTTGTTAAGAATTTAAAAAGGAAGAAAGAAGAAATGAATATATTCTTTCTCTAATAATGTTAGTGATTGCTGTTGAGGGCTAAATTATATATCCCTGTTACTAACTACTGAGATGCACATTTTATTTAATTCCAAAAGGTGGCAGCAAAATATTCTAAACTTGGACAATTGGTTGTTTTTTTTTTTTCCAAATGTTGAATTTATTCTAGTTTATTTTATATTATTGGCAATATTTTTGGGATTTTTTGAAAGACACTATATTCATTTAGCATTGCATACACTGTAGAGAAGGAAGACTCAGTTTAAATTATTGTGTTATTTACATGAGTCAGACAAGGAGTCCTCATATCACCTGTATTATTAAATATTCAATGTACGGAGTTGGTTGAATGCAGCAAAAAATGTATCAATACTGTCAGCACTGAAGAACTCAAAATGTGTGAAGATGTTTTTGTCAAAACACATGAACATCAGGTCTGAATCTTCTTGTCTTACCTGAGGCAAAAATCCCAATGAGACCCGCTGAGGTGGATGGGCCTTAAGTCTAAATATGAATCTAGTGCTCTGGGCATAAGAGACTTACTTAAAAAAAAACACCATGCACAACAACAAAAACAACAAAACCCACAAACAAACAAAACACAAGCCCCAACCAACCAAAAAAACCCTTACTGAGGACAAAAACCAGAAGATTTTATGGTATGAAAATAAGCATTAACCTCTGTTTTTTAATTAGTACCTGACTAATATATCACAAATGTAAACTGTACAGCTTTTTCTCTTGTGTAGAGATGGAGCATTAAGAATAAGGCTCCAAATGATTGCAGCAATTACATTAATTTGGATAAAATAAACTTAGAAGTAACATTTTATTCTGCTGACCAAATGCGTGTGAGTCTCTGCCATGCCTGGAGCCTTAAAAAAAGCACTTTTTAAAACAAGCATCATGATGCAATGTGATTACCATCTGCAGGAATGGTGTTATATTCAGAAAGCAGTCAAGTATGATGAGATTTTTGGATGGCTAGCTTATATGCATAGAAAGAACTTCCTTAAGTGGTTTATTTTATCAATATGTTTAGAGTTTGTAAGACAGGTTTTGGGATTCCTTCTGAACACATGACACATAGATCAAGTCAAAATATATAAAACCCTTTACTGGAGGGAAATATTCCGCTTGCCTAGGTTTTCCTTCCCAAAGTTAAAAGTTATACTTAAAAGGAAATGTAATGCCATGACAAAATCTCTGAGTTGGTGTACATTCCTGTAGAAAGTGATTTTTGTGTTGGTTGCCAGGGTCTCGGCTCATAAATGACTATTCTTGTTCTTGACATCAGTGGGAATTAGACATCATCTGCAAGTGCATCTGGCTCTTGGCCCTTGCACATGTATTATTTTAGCAGAGTAACAAGTAGCTTCAATTCTAAACAACAAAGTGCTCTTCTATCTAGGGGTCATCATCACAGACATTCTTAAGTACAAACATTGCCAATTATTATTCTCACATTCTCCTCCCAGTTCATATGAAATAGTCTATTACAATGTGCCATGTTTTGCAGGGCTATGCCTGTCCTGCCAAAATATACTATTCTTCTTATGCTTGTCTTGAAATAAAACCAGAAGTACAATCAACTTTGAGCATCAGATGGAAATCCCCATTGCCATCAAATTCAACCTCTCACTTTTACATCTTGACCTGACTTGTAAGTAAATAGAGAAGATGCTGTCAGGGTAAGAAGGTATGCAACCTTGGCTTAGTAGATTGTTGTTCTTAGGCATTCAGCCAGGAAAGTTGAATTGGATAAAATTAATAAATACAAAAACATAGATACTGAAGGAACAGACTGCAAAAAGAAAGAATAAACTAGGATGAATAATTTCATAACTACATCACTTACATGGCAGTTTATGAATACACGTGTTCTGGACTGGTTAATTTATTCCTGAGCATTAGACTTAGAAGTAACAGATGGAGGTAGATATCCCAAAAGGCAAAAAAAAATATATCCTTGACTTTTGAAAGTTATTTTAGGCTTTATTTTTTTAAGCTGTCTTTTTTTGTAAATAGTACTTGATGTGATTTTAAGGAAAAGCATTGGAACACGGAGGAATGAAACAGCTGTCTCGGTGTTGTGCTTGGTCATAGTAACAAGGCAATGAACTTTTCAAAAAGACAAAGCTTGTTTGTGTTGGTGGCAGCAGATTTGACTTCCTGTACAGGGTAGTCAGAAAAAGCAAACCTTTTCACATCAAGTGGAGTCATTTTGTGTGCAAATGACTCAAGCTACTGCTGTTGCTTGTATATGGATACATTATTTTAAATCTTGCAGCTGTGAGCTCTGGTTAAATAAATAACTTTGAGAGAAACCTGGCAGACCTGTAATTGCTTAAAAACATCTCTCACTCTCAAAATATCTCCATGTCTAATGTTGTATTAGTGCTGTCAGGAGAAGCCAACAGCTGTTAAGTGCTGAGCAGTAACTCACTTTAATGCTGTGGCACATTTCACAGAGAGAGGAACCATGCTTGTCAGATTATCACCTATGTATTTGAGAAGTGTCAGGGCTCCAAGCTGCTGGCACCTGAAGAATCACCAGAGAGCCAGACACAGGACCTTGGGGGAAAGACCTGTATAATGTCCTGCAAACTACCAGCCCCAAGGGACAAGAAATCTGACATCATAAAAATTAATCAGAGAAAATGGATGCAGTAAAAGGCCAAGTTAAATTGCTTTGTGGTTAGAAAGACTGGCTGGCTAATTCTCATTGACAATAAAAATGGCTTCTTCTGCTTTTTACATCTATATTCCTCCCTTGTCTCCTCTTAATTTTTGGTGCTATTCTAGTTGCACTGTGGCAGGAAGATTTAAAGGAGAATAAAGCTGCCAGGTCTGATTTTTCTACCATTATCCTAATGAAGATAGACCTTTACAGTGCAAGTAGCCTTAGGAAGTAAAGATGAATGATCATCTTACTCCAGTGTAGCAAAACAAAGGCCTATTGGAAACACACTGAATGTATCACTTTATCTTTTTAGATTTATAACTGACCATATATAAGATATTATCTTTTTATATCTTTTGAATGTATTGATTTGTCTATCAGTTCACCTGTAAGAACCTTCCATATCCGAGCACTTAGTCTCGAAAGGAGTTATCAACTTTCCCTGCTAGACTGCTGAGACAGAATTATTATTCCCATTTTGTCTATGTAGAGAGAAGACTCAGAAGCTGTGCTAGTGACACAAAGGCATGCAAAAATTCTATGGTGATGTAACTGTGGAGGATTTCTATCTTGCCTGTTTTGCACTAGCTTATACCCTTAACCAGTGAAGAAAATTCAGACATCACATGATGACTTGTACCTATTAGAGGCAGTGATGCAGAAGATGCAGAAGAATCTCAAGAACATCAGTGTTATTTCAGTGCTTGATTTAGGCTTTTACTAACAGCTCGTGTTTTGTGGTCCTCTTTTGAGAAGAGAGCAATTTATTTTCAGCTTACACTAGAGACACGGTAAGATTCTAAGATAGCATAGAAGAAAAAGCTATAACATCAGACCCACACCTGGACAAATACATAGACAAGTGTAGTATATATAGTTGGACATTTTCTATTTTTTCTTTAGCTCATAAATGTGTAGGTCGCTATTATCTCGTAGATTGGAGACCTGGTTTCCTTATCCTTAGATTCACTGTATTCAGCTGCTCCTTTGAAGAGAGTGATGGTAAGGGAGCATACTTAGATACCCTTTCCCCCTTTTAGGCTATCCAACACATCCACTGCTCAGGGCCAGGGCTGCAGATTG